GACCATTACTATTCAAACCACAACATACATGTTTATAATAAACATATGATATCATTTCTAAACGTATTAATATAACCTGCTCGTTCCTCTAGGGACGTGTGTGTGTGTGTGTGTGTGTGTGTGTGTGTGTGTACGACATCAAAGTTGAGCATTCTCATCATTCTTTTTAGTTGCCTCTACTTCTTTAGATAGGGTTGAGGCCCCATGAGATTTTTTCCCTTCCTTGTTAGCATGTCTGTGGGCACTGTCTTTTTAAGGGCAGCTATGCTGACTAGACTTCATAGATGTAGCTTCTCTGACATCTCACAGAAAACTTTGTTTCTCTGACTTTTACAATCTTTCTGCCCCTCCTCCCCACCACGACACTGGAACCTTAGGTCGACGTTTTGCAAATATATCATTTGGGCCAGGCCCCACACTGTCACTTTTCTCTGCAGTTTGATTGGTTGTGGGTTTTATAATGGTCTCCATCAGTTGCAAGTGCACATTTCTCTGATGAGGGCTGAGATCTATGCTTGTCTATGGATATATAGATAAATAAAGTGTAATTAATAACTGTGATAGCTTAGTAAAGTGGCAGTTGCAGGTTCTCCTCTACAGTCCATGACTTCCCCAGCCCCAGGGAACTGACTAGGTTTCCAGTACCAGACATGATTTCCCTCTTGTTAAGGCCTTAAGTCAAATTAGAGGGCTGTCGGTTACCACTGACAACGTATGTACAACACAGCGCATCCTCGGGGATGACTGTCCATGCTGGTTGTTATTTCAGTTCATAGGCATTGAGGCTGGGTAGGCCTTGCTTGCTTCCCTGCCTTGGAAGTTTGCATGGTGCCCTCAGGGACAATGAGAGCTAGCTTTCAGGAAGGAGGCTTTCAGGTCAGCTCCTGCATAGTTACTTCAGGCCCTGTGCTGCCGGTACATAGAGTTTTCAGCAACAGGGACTTACCTTCCAGTTCTGGGAGGCAACCAAAGGCAACAGCAATAGCCTCTAATGTTCTGAGAGTGCCATGGGCAACCCTGGCCAGCACTCGAAAGGAGCATCCCATGCCTGGTGTTGGGGTTTTTGTTACATATTCTATGACATTTGCGGGAAAAACTGTGAGTCGAGATGAAACATTTTCACATAAACTATTTATTTTTATCTATACACAGACTTATATATATAATCAAGGAAGATAATAATATAATTCCTTATGCCTGTTCTTTTGGCATCTTAACTGTTATTTTACCCTCCACCTGTACTTATCTCTCCTTTCCCCTATTAGAGTTCCCCACTTTCTTATTTCCCCCTCCAAATCACTAAAGTCTGATATTCCCCTTTCTATTGATGCCACCTTACCCATGGTCCCTTTTTACTGTCCTGGTTTCTGCAGTTACTTCAGGAAAAATAGTTACATCTGAAGAGTTAAAGATAGGAACTGAAGATGACAGAGAATGTTTGTCTTTCTGGCTCACCTGCATGGAGATGTAGGCATTGTTTCTTATTTATTTATTTATTTATTTATTTGTATTTCTCTCATACATTGCATTCTGACTGCAGTTTCAGTCTACAGAATAGGAAAATATTTTCACAACCTCCACACATAGAGGGATAATATCCAAAATATGTTAAGAACTCAAGAAATTAGACATCAACAAACCAAGAAACCCAGTTAAAAAATGGGGCACAGACCTAAACAGAGAATTCTCAAAAGAGGAATTTCAAATGGCAGAGAAACACTTAAAGAAATGTTCAACATCCTTAGTTGTCAGAGAAATGCAAAACGACTCTGAGATTCCATCTTACAGGCATCAGAACACCGTCACAGTCAGAACGTCGTCACAGTCTGACTAAATCATTACAGTGGTGTGTGTAGTGGTGAGGACAGGAAAAGGATGGGAGGAGAGATGCAAATGGAAGAAGCTTGACAGAGAAAAACTGGAGAAAGTAGGGGAGGATTTCAAGACATGCACACTGAATATCTGAAGAAATTGTTAGGTGGACTATATGCATAGAAAGAGCTGCTTGGGAGGAAGGCAAACAGGGAGGGAGGCAGGGAGAGAGGAAAGGAAGGATGGAGAGAGAGAAATTTTATATGAGAAATTGAAAAATAGCCAGGTGTGGTAGCGCATGCCTGTAATCCCAGCACTCAGGAGGCAGAGGCAGGCGGATCTCTGTGAGTTCGAAGTCAGCTTGGTCTATAAAGCAAGTCTAGGACAGCCAAGGCTACGCAGAGAAACCTTGTCCCAAAGGGAAAGAAGAAAGAAAGAGAAACTGAAAAATACCTTAATAACCAGGTTAAAGAGAAATAAATCACAGCAGCAATTAAGAATTTTTTAAAAAGATAAAATAGTTATATGGTGCAAATACAATGTACTTAGCGGTAAATATATTATTTCTTAGTGCTTCCATTTAAAATAGCAAAAGAGACTCCATGTAAAGGAGCAACAAGTAGCTCAAGACACCAGACAACAAGCAGCAGTCACTCCACAAGCACCAAGGTAGAAATCAAGCAAAAGGAAAGCACGCCGGTGCTTGAGGGAACTCGAACAGGCAGGAACACTTAGAAAGAGCAACACGGGGGATCTGATCTGCTGGCTATGAGAACTGTAGGCCTGGGAGTCGGTGTCACTGAATGATGCGGAGGAACCAACGAAGCAAGGAGGAGGCCATTCCCATGGAAACTGGACGGCTTTAGAAGGTAGCGGTGAGGAGGTCTGCACTATTCACTAACAGATGCTGGGAGTACTAGATGTCTAAGGGAGGGAAAACTGTGTCAGGCTCCTGTTACACTCGGGGTAAACAGTAAACTTAGTGTGAAAAGCGGGACTTGAAGAAAATGTAGGAAAATGCATCAAGGACTTTGGAAACACTTTTTAAGGCAAGACTAAAAGCAAAACTTATAAAGAACGACGCCTGCGGGAGTGGAAACAACTCTGTGAGTGAGTGCTTTGGAGGTCCACAGGCCCGCCCTGCCTCACAGAACCGTGCTGCGGATCTGAGCGTGCATGGGCTTGGCACAGGCCCCTCCATGTCTGTGGCTTCACTCTGCGACTGTGAGGCTTGGGCAAGGGTGGCAGCTCAGCTAGCTTCATGGTCCCCTAGTCAAGTTTTCACCTGGCGTTATGGCCAAGCCTCACAATTTCCAAGGCTAGTGTGTGTGAGTGTGTGAGTGTGTGTGTTAATGTGTGTGTATGTGTGTGTGTGTGTGAGTGTGTGTGTTAATGTGTATGCGCGCGTGTGTGTGTGTGTGTGTTAATGTGTATGCGCGCGTGTGTGTGTGTGTGTGTTAATGTGTGTGTGTGTGTGTGTGTGTGTGTGTGTGTGTGTTTTCTTTTTCAAGACAGGGTTTTTTGGCTGACCTGGAACTTACTTTGTAGATCAGGCTGGCCTTGAACTCATAGAGGTCCGCCTGCCTCTGCCCCTCGAGTGCTGGGATTAGAGTTCCAAGGCTGTTTATCGTTAAGCTGGGAGTAATCTGTTAAAGATCCGTTAGACGCTGCTTCTGCTCACCTCAATAAGGCGAGAACTCGTGCTTGTCCCACAGCAGTCTGAGAGGACTTGTGGCTGAGAGGGAGGGCTGCCCGTCAGGCTTGCTCAAGCCTCAGCCCCGGCCTTTGGAGGTTGTGTGGTCCCAAGGAGTTACTTTGGCTTCGCTGCACGTTGGCATTCCTACCTCAGAAATGAGAGCAGGGCGACAAGTTAATATAGTCACCGTGTTTGGGAAATGCTACAACACCTTCTAAATAGTGTCAGCATTAGGCCTGTGGACTTGGACTCCCAGGGTAAAATGAGGCAGAGGGTATCCCACACATCTGAAAGCAAGCCCGTCTGGAGCCCTGGCTTTCTTGCTTCCTTGTGCCGCTAGAGCCAGGGATGGGCTATGGGTGGCAGCTGTTCCTGCCGCAGGAACCCCAGGAACACTTAGTAAAGACGCCCAGCTGGGAAGCAGGGCAGCAGAGTTCCACGGACCCGGCTCACCCGCTTCTAAATACTCTCTCCTTTAAAATATTGCTTATTCGTGCTAGCTCCTGGCTCAGTGCCTCGCACTTTCACAGTTGTGTTAAAAACAAAACCCCCCTTTGCCTTCTCTGTTCACCAGCCCACACCAGCTAACTAGCCCTTCCCTCGCCATCTTTCTCAAATCTGAGGCTCCCTCGAGGTAAGTGGGAGCGTGTCACCCGCTCTTCACAGAGTGCTCATTTCTCGCGACTCTCTGGGGATGGCCACAGCCTCTGAAGGAAGGAGAGGCAGCCACCCCACCGGGCTGTCTGCAGTGAAGCCCCAGGCCCTGTCCTCACCCCGGGCGGTGTTAGAGAGAGCCCGCGTAGGGCCGGACGCCTTAAGGACTCTACATTTGGGAGAAGGAGCGAGAACGTTCCCTGGTGTCTGCGTGGGAAGAACAAGTGTCCCGCAGTGTCGTGACAGGGCGGATGCACCCTGAGCGACCTGGGCGGGCGGGTAAGCGGAGTGTTTGCAGAGTGACCAACCGGGAGTTTTCGGCGCAGGAGAGCAAACTTGAGCGATACCCGGGATGTGGGTAGGCCGCGGTGCTGATAAGGGAGTTTGCCGGGGTGTGTCGGAGGGAGATACGGTCTCCATCTCCTCTGACATGGCCACCGGGAGAGAGACTTCCACACCTTGAAGCCGATATAAGGGCCGGAGGCCGCCCACATCCGCACTCGCTGCGGCTCCCTGTCCCCAGGCACCATGAAAACCGTGAGTACGCGCTCCCTCCCGCGCCCCTCGCTGCGGGCGGGCCTTAGGCATGCACTGCGCATGTCCACCGCGCTGGGCAGTGCTTGGGGTGGGAGCCAGGCTGAGCACCTGTGTGTCGGTCGTCTGCTTTTCTTAGGTTTGCTCCAAGTGTACGCAGGGGGAAAGGAAGTGAGTAGAGACTCACCTGGAGGACGGTGAAGGAGAATCCCTTCTCGTCCCTCTGTGGGCCTGTAGGCATTTGAGAGCGATTGCATTTGTCACATGAGAGAGGTGTGAAAGACCATGTGAAATAAGCCCCGGGATGACTCTCCCTTCCTCCATCCGGTACCCGGATTCCGGGGGTTCTGCCCCAAACAGTATGGGAGCCCCGCCCCCCGCCCCCGGGCCTCGCCTCTCAGCCACGCTGACCGTTAGCCCTAAAGCGACAAGACAAAGGCCTTCAGCTGACCAGGGCTCCCCTCTCAGGGCCTCTTGATTTTCCAGGAGGAGATCAAGGCCTAAAGCACAAACTCAAAGCCAAGATGGATCAACCTCTGTGTGGGTGGGAGGAACCCTGGGGCAGAGGGCATTTCCTGGGCTCTCTCTAGGCGTCCACTGAGATGCTTAGTTGAGTCCCCTGTCCAAACGTCTAGTCGAGAGCCGGCCCGAGGTGGGGTGCGGGGAGCTCATGTAAGGGTGTGTCTGTACCCCAGGCGCCAGGAGGTGAACAGAGGAAAGGGCTAAGAGGAGGTTAGACCAGCCCTCCCCCCAGCCCGTCCTCCCCCAGCCTCTAAATACCTGCGGGTGACGCTGGCGCAGACTTGGAAACATCCTCCGCACAGCATCAGAGCTGTGTCTGTGGAGGGCTATGGGCTGCCGGGCTATGGCGGCAGATGGATGCTTCAGTTGAGGTCAAAGGTTAACTGTACTCCCAGTATCCTCCTCCGGAATGGTTCTTTCCCTCAGCCTCAAGAAACTGAAATGTCCCCCTTAGATCAAAGCACATAAAACGTGTCCACTCACTGAGTACCTGTGTGACTTACACCAGGTTTCCCCCTGCTACCTGAGTGCTCCGCTCGCCTGCCCCAGGTTTTCCTGCCATCCAGACGATGTAACACTGAACAGCTGGGAAATGGGAGGCCAACAAGAACCGTGTGTCTAACAAATTGCACGAACTCAACAAGTGCCTGCCGGGAGGGCAAATGCGGGGTTTCGACTTTTTAAAGTAGAAAAGCAGACGGCTGGTTACTTGTGATGGCTGGCCGCTCTCCCTCGGTGCCCACCTGTGGACCCCCTCAATGAGTGACTACCCTCAGAGAGCTGATGTGCTTTTCAGGTGGCATTTCTGGTGGTGCTGTCCATCTTTGGAGTACAATCTCAGGCGGATGAGGTGAGTTGGCGTCTTAGAGCTACGGGAAGAGACAAGAACTGTGTGAGGCCAGGCCATCCCAAGGACCAGAGAATCCCACGGCCTTCCTCGAGATAGAGTCCCACTCATGGAAAAGAGGAAGCAGTTATTTATTTCTGCCTGCAATGCCTTCACAAGGTGACCCCACCACACTAAAACGTGGTGCGTCCCGTTTCCCTTGCAATGGCTTCTCTCTCTCTCACACCCAAGCCACACAGTAAGCCAGCGAGGGAAGCCTGCACTTCGTCTCAGCACACACAAGCTTTGCGTGGGCTTCCAGTGAGCGGTTCACTGAAGTCAGTATCCTGGTGAATGAGCTGCCTTTCAAATGCACAGCTTACGGAAAACTTATCTTGCCTCTGTTGTCACGTCTAGGTTTTTAACATCTTCAGCCCAGGCAACAGTGGTGGCAACGTCCAGGAGACGGTGACCATCGATAACCAGCGGAACACCGCCACCATCAACGTCCACGCAGGGTCCTGCTCTTCCACCACTATTTTTGACTATAAGCATGTAAGCAGAGGGAGGGAGCTTTACGTAAGATTGGTTTTGTAAAGGGCAGGGGTCGGCTATTTAGTAAATATTTAAATTATATGACCTATCTTTACAAGTCCTTAACATTTTTTCTTACTTTTGTCTTTCCCTTTAAACAAACAAATAAAACCATTTCTGAAAAAGAAATACATTTACTTGACAATGATGATGTTGTCCCATTCCTGGCCTGGAAGGCTGATCAAAGCAATGCCCAGGCCTGTTGGATGGATAAATGAATGAATGAAAACTTCTGATAAAAATATACAAAAAATGAGCACTCTTAAATGAGCAGAAAAGGAGAACCATGAATGTGCTTAAACTCTTTATGTAGGACAGATGACATGACGCTTTCTATGAGTCCTTCCCAGTGTTGTTGCTGGGCTAACAATACATCTTAGAAACTTGCTCCAAAAGCTAGTTTCCTGATTTTGATTAATTTAGTAATTTCTTCCTCCAAGACTTATTATGGGCTGCCTTACCTGAAGATATCCAGCAGGTATATCCACCAGTACTGCGTGTCTGAAGTTGCTTTTTTCCTCCTTTTTCCTCTCGACACTCCCGCATGTACTCTTCCTGCTGGTGCCAGGCATTTGTTTCATGCCACTTTCTTTTCTTTTTTATTAAATTTTATTTGATTTTTATTGATTACAGTTTATTATTCACTTTGTATTCCAGCCCCTCCCCCATGTCCTTCCAATCCCACCCTCTCTCCCTCTTCTTCTCCTATGCCCCTCCCCAAGTCCAATGATAAGGGAGGACCTCCTCCCTTCCATCTGACCCTAGTCTATCAGGTCACATCAGGACTGGCTACATTGTCTTCCTCTGTGGCCTGGTAAGGCTGCTCCCCCACCAGGGGGAGGTGATCAAAGAACTAGCCACTGAGTTCATATCAGAGACAGTCTCTGTTCCCATTACTAAGTAACCCTCTTGGACACTGATCTGCCATGGGCTACATCTGTGCAGGGGTTCTAGGTTATCTCCATGCATGGTCCTTGGTTGGAGTATCAGTCTCAGAAAAGACCACTGTGCCCAGTTTTCTTGGTTCTGTTGCTCTCCTTGTGGAGCTCCTGTCCCCTTGAGGTCTTTCTATCTCCCCCTTCTTTCCCAAGAATCCATGCACTCTGCCCAAAGTTTGGCTATGAGTCTCAGCATATGTTTTGATACCCTGCTGGGTAGAGCTGATGGCTCAGCCGTTAAAAGCTAGGCTCACAATCACGCCACTTTTTAAAGCATAGAGTGTTTGAAGTCTTTGACAGCTAGTGCAACTAAAATTATCTTTAGTAGATTTCACGAAAATCCCCTAAGTGGCTTTTAAAGAATCAAATTATGAAGACTTTGTGTAACTCCTTTGTTGTTTCCTTGGGTCAGTCTAGTGTTAAGTTTAGGTACTAAAACTTTTGGGAAATTGAAAACTAGAAAGTAGAATGCTTTTTATGTATCCAAAGCATCACAGATAAAACTTCCATTTGAGATCAGAATGTCATGACCGCCTGTGATCCTCCCTCATGTCAAACTCCCCCACACCTGGGCACTTCTAATGCGGCTTCCACAGTCTGCTCCCTCCAGAATGGTGGACAGAGTCTGAGGCAGAGAAGTGATGGAGAAGAGGGAAGGGGGGGGGACAGGAAAAGCGTGTGGGGTGAGGGTAGATGTAAGCCCGCCTAGGAATCTTCTAGAACAATGTGGCCTAAGAGAACCTCAAGCCAGGCAGAGCTATTCTGTGTTTGAGTTATCTGAAGGGGAAATACTGTGGCTACTAACCATTGTAGCTAATGTGTGCTCAAAATGTGTCCTGAAATAAATTGCAAAGTTCACTGGGTTTGAATTTAAATAGCCACACGTGGAGGCATTATGCTGTTGAGTGATATTCTTGTTAGTCAAAATTGAGTATCAGGCTGAATAAAATTCAAAGGAAAGAGGCAGAGAGCTATTCTTTCTCAGTCTTTAAACTCCCCATTGTAGGTCCTGATTCCAGAATACAAAGAGCATATGCCAACTCTCACAGAGGTACAATCACAGGGTTACAAATGCCAAGTGGAGAAATTAAAACTTCATATCAAAGATGAGTGGAGGGAAGTTCATTCAGACTGACAGCATTAGTTCATCGTGGGTGCTCAAGCTTTTCTTCCAAGACTCAGCATCAACATCACCAAATAGGAACCCGAGAAACCATGGAGTCAGTAACTGTGCTCTCCCCACTCAGGGTTACATTGCATCCCGGGTGCTCTCCCGAAGAGCCTGCTACATTCTCAAGATGGACCACAAAGCCATCCCTGCTCTGGACAAGCTCCAACGGTACATCTATGAGAAGCAGGTAATCTGGGGCTCCTTGAAAACTCTGCTCCTGAGCCAGCCATGCTGCAGCCCACGAAGGGATGAGAATGAGACCATAATACATAATGCATATGACACTTACCTTACTAACATGTTTTCACATTTGAGGGAGGGAGGGAGGAAAACTCATGTCAGCACAGTTCTCATCACAGAGCCCTGAATGCTTGGATTTATAAAAAACTTAAACCTGTCTTTGGAGAGGGGTTGGTGAACCTTTCTTCTTGCAGGTGAGATCTAAGATACAGTGTTTCATTGAAAATGAATACATTTATGCTATTTAATGATACAAAGACACAGACAAATAACACCAAAGAGTGAGAATCTCCAGACAGAGTTTTCAGAGAAGATATGTTTGCTACTTTGTGGGTTCTTTTTCCTTTCACTCTTCACCCTTTTACTTCTTCCCTTTCAACACCCTAGATAGGAGATGAAAAAAAAAGGATAGAGGGGAAAGGAGTCATCATTATCATTAGACTACTTCCTGCTGGTTAAGGGGGTGTCCTCCTCCTCTTCCTCCTCTTCCTCCTCTTCCTCCTCCTTATTCTTTGTCCATGGCTACTTAACAAACTACAACCAACAGCATCCAACCACCAACCAGCCACACCCATTGGAGCCCTAGCATTTATCTACCCTCTGAAAAGTCCCCAGAATTCCAAACATCACACACTTGCAGAAACTATCTGAAGCTGGCAAAACCAAACACACCCCTACCAGAGCACGAGGCAAATCATAGTCAGCTGCCACAAAACAGCACCATATCCCATACCTGGGATTAAAACGAAACACAGTCCCATAACATTTCTATCTTTTAAAGAAACCAAAATTACACAATTCTCACTACATCCCTGAATGTCCCTTATTTAACCATTGGACAGAAAGAGCCATTCACAATTTAAAGGAAGGTCCACCAGGCTTACCAGTTTCTTCTACACTGTTCTGCTCTGTCATGTCATCTAGACGATGAACACCATGGCCTCCAGAGAGTACACCTGGGTCCGGTACAACCCTCTGAAGTCCATGCTCATGAAGGTGGACTGGTTCCTGTTTGGGTCACCTATTAAAAAGCTGTGCAAGGACATCCCCCTGTATGAGGGGGAGGTGGTTACAAAGCCGCCAAGTGAGTACCAACAGAACCAACCTAGTTCTGGAAGCTGCGGGATGCCCCACTGTCGGGAGGGGGCTGTGTGAAATATGCATAAGTGAAAACATGACTTAGTTCAGTTTACTTCAGGAACTGGCTTTCTACCATTTGCCTGGATCGTTAGAGACATTAGGAATACAGAAATAGGCAAAGCTCTGCCCCTCTGGGGTTCAGTGCTGTGGGAAAGCAGCTGAGGGAAAGCGAAGGATACGGTCAGAAAGGGTTCCTGGGAGTCAAGAAAACCCCTGTTATTCTGTTTTGTTTTGTTTTTTTCATACATAAGTGCTCCATGTAGAAAATCACTTCCAGAGCATCTTTCAAACAGTGTTTTCTGGAAATGCTAAGAAAAGCTGCCAGGATCTGGCATAGAGTGAGTGTCCCAGGGAAGAGAAGGCAGAGGACAGCAGCCCGGTGTTACCAGTGATCATTGCTGAATCCTGCACTGACTGTGACAATGAGGCCAGGACCCGTAGACAATGAACTCAACAAAAGGCATTTGTCAGGGTAGTAGGAGGTAAGGAGGAAGGTGTTAGCATTTGCTGTGTGTTAGCCTAGAAAGTCAGCATTCCTAATCGCTTAGAGAGGAAGCAGGGCAGGCCATCAGCACAGAGCCATAGGGCATCCACCAGACCAGCGCCTGCAGAGCCGTTGGTCTTATGTAAGTTAATTTACTACTCCAACTACACCTAAGGCTAAAATCTTGGGTGCTGTGAAATTATAACGCTTCCCCTACCACAGTCAGGAAACCTTGAAAATATTGTTTTTTTTTTTTTTATGCTATTTCTTTACTTTTTTTTTTTTTTTCTATTTGCAGAAGAGGCAAATACTGGAGCCTGCGCAAAGGTGGGGCTCCTGGGGCTGCTGGGATTCTCCATCTGTGCAGGAATTCACATTTAGGATGTTGCATCTGCTGGCTTCACCTTTTCAAAGAAACACACCTGTGGGTTCCACTCAGAAGCCGAACTAAATTCTTCCCAACATTCCATCTACTTATGAGATTCAATAATAACACATATATTTACAGATCTCTCTGTCTCTCGTGTTTGTTCCTTTCATGGGCACAGTGGAAAACCAAGCAGTGTTGATTGTAGGGGGAACAGCAAAACAGCTTTAGAATTCACAGGACGAGGTCCATGCTTTAGACAGCCATGATGTGCAGCAGAGAGGCAGAGCCCCGAGGAGTATGTCTCGATGACCTCATGCTGTTATGGAGCATCTGTCTGCTGGTTGCCCTCACCATCACTACCTCCCTCAGAATCTAGGAGTTGTATAAGAATCCTAAGGGGGCTCTTGGCCCCTCACTGGGCAGTTTCACTGGCACTCGCAAGTATTGCTCCTGGGGCAGATTAATGATTCATTCGCCACCCTCAGAAAGAGCTTGGAGTTGTAGATTTTTAGCAATGTCCACCACCCTTAGAAAGAATTTGGAGAAGCAGATTTTAGGGAACTTATATTAAGATATTTTTTGTTGGTGGCTCTGATGTAGAAAATCGTGGGGAACAATTTGAAACTCAAAAAGGCACACTATTAGTAATTGAGGTAGGGATTTTTTGAGGCCAGAGAACAAGAACAATGGCAGCCTGATTAGCACTGAGCTAATTAGTCACAGGCATGACTATCTTGCTAAGGTCGGGCTGTTGATCAAGATGATGATTAATTTCTCATACCCATTTTTGAGCTCAGCTTCCTGATACGGTGTAATGAAAATTGTTAGTGAGTAGATGAGCATGCTGAGGATTTAAAGTAGAAATTACTTTTTTTATATAAAAGTTTAGATTTGTGATTCTTTTAAGGTTTTTATAAGATTACTTTTTAAGATAAATAATAAAACAATTGATCCTTTCTTTGGAACTGCAAAATTCAGCCTGCCAGCAAGAGAAACTGGCTGAGAAAATTGGTCATCTATAACAAGTTGCTTAGTTAGGAATGTATGTGGGTTCTGGAAGCCCCATGTGAAGATACTGGGGAACACACTGTGTTTTTTTTTTTTTTAATAATCATTCACAGAAGAAAATAGAATGTAATCACATTGTGATTTTTTTCTGTACTGCTTGAATTGTTTTTCTGGGAAAAAAAGAAACAACATTGTTAGAGCCTGTTGGAGCTTTTCTCCACCCACAAAAATGTGTGTGTGTGTGTGTGTGTGTGTGTGTGTGTGGTGTGTGTGTGTGTGTGTGGTGTGAGTGTGTGTGTGTGTATGAGTGTGTGTGTGTGGTGTGAGTGTGTGTGTGTGTGGTGTGTGTGTGTGTGTGGTGTGAGTGTGTGTGAGTATGTGTGTGTGGTGTGTGTGTGTGTATGTGTATGAGTGTGTGTGTGTGGTGTGTGTGTGGTGTGTGGTGTGAGTGTGTGTGTGTGTGTGGTGTGAGTGTGTGCCTGCCTCACATCATCACCCACCCCGAGTCCCCTCCTTGAACACACTGTTGGAGATGGCCTTCAACGGTTGACCTCAGGATATAGAAGGACTTCAATTAAGATGCACAATGGAGGAAAATGTCCAGGTGATGGAGGTGAGCCGAGTGCAGCCTAACCATGGGGACATGGGCCTCTGTCTCTCTCCACAGCTGCCTGCAGACCAGCTGTCCACCTGTGATGTCAAAGCTCAGACAGTAGAGTTGAGTGGGGACTTTGGCAGCTTTGATTGGGAAGAGGGTGGGCGTTCTATAGCCCCAGTACTTTATTACAGATTTACCTGTCAGGGTTATGGACTCAGTGAAAGAATTTGGCATTATTTGGTCAAACATAATGAATGCATTGGTGAGCTAAGATAACTGGTGAGCTTTTGGGTGTCTGATAATGTAGAACTGAGAGGTAAGTCCAGCTTTCCTACCATGAAAGCAAATGCACATGAACGACATAGGAAAAATGGCTTGTACCACACGGACTGGTACAAGGGCCACGGGGAGACGGTCTCAGAATGAGGGCTGAATATCTGGATCCTCATTGCCTCGCAATGGGACACCTCTCTAAGGGACACTGCTCCTGCCTTAGAGTTCTAGAGGGAGGCACCAGGGTCTCTCCGTGGGTTGTCACTGTGTGGCTGGGCCACATCCCGGGACCTCAGTCCCAGCTTTCAGGAGGCAAGTGTAGTCTCAGATCTGGCTGTCCAGACTGGGCTCCATTGCTGGTTTACTCGTTTGTGGCCGACAATCCTCAGGGGATACCTGAAGAGACTCGGAAATGAGAGGTTCTGGAGGAGCCAATTCCACGCTGTAGGATGTTCTGGGAAGCCCGGGACTGGGAGTGCACAGAGAATGAGGGGATTGAGAGGATGAGGGAACCTGCAGAGGATGAGGGCATTGAGAGGATGAGGGCATTGAGAGGATGAGGGGACCTGCAGAGGATGAGGGGACCTGCAGAGGATGAGGGAGCCCAGAGAGGGTGAGGGAATCCATCTGCTAGACCAGTGACGTGAAAACTTTATTCTTTCACAGAAGGTAGAAAATGTACTTATTCCCCCCACCCTACCCCCCAGACTACAGGGCTGGGTGCTGCGTGGGGAGCCAGAATGCAGAGGACTGGAATCTCACAGGCAGAGGCTGGACCAGGCACGTTCAGTCTTCACACGGCTGACTTAGGGGTTCAGAGGCCAGGGATCTCACCACAGATGGACAGTCCCATGAAGGACAGAAGCTGGAGCTCAGAACAGGAGTCTGGGTCAATCGCCAGGGCTGTGCCTTCAAGAGGAAGGACCCACACTTTAGAGACAAGTTCAGAGTCAACAGGTACCTCAGGCCCCTGCGTTGGATGAGCGCTCAGGTCCGCCCAGGCCCGGCCCCTCTCACCAGCCCCTGCAGTAATCACCTCGTTCTCTTTCACTGTTCCTTCATTATCCCTCTTAACCCCCAGCCCTGCGTGCTGTTTCTCTCCTGGACCTTTGTGTTTTGAAGAACTCTGGCTTGTGGGGAAACTTAGACCAAGGCGTAAGAGAGGAGCAACAGCCATGTTGTTGACTGCTTTTGGGCTCACAGGCAGGTCTTGGAATCTTAGCTTCTAGCTACCCCAGCTCTTCGGGTCACTGATCCCCCTCACACCCCGGGCAAGACTACCGGCCACCAGCTGCTCTTCATAAGTGCCAGGCTCCAGGCACCTTGAGAAAGACTAGGACCAAGGACTCCCCCTTTCTTCCACTACGGTGGGCGTGGCAAAGCTTGAGTCAGGGCAGGGTGTCCACCAGCCAGGAGATGACTGGCCTTGGCCTTCTGATAAGGTTATGGCTGCTTCCCTCCTCTATGAGCCCTGCAGGGAATCCCCCTACATCCCAGGCCACGTGACTTTTCTTCCAGCGGAGAAGCAATGGAATCAGCTGCCATTACAGTTTGCCGATAGGTCCCGAAACTCGCCCCGCGCATCTTTTGATTCACGCCTAGTGAACACACCTTCTTTTTGCTGCCGAGCGAAGTAGGCGGGCACCGCTCGGCACAGGTCCTTGACCGCCACTCCGTATTGGGCCAGATTTTTGACTCGGCTGGGTAAAACCGTGTAGGTCAGTCCGCGGGTGGGTGGGTAGTGACCGGAAGCCTGGGAGAGGAGGGTGTCTCAGATAGGGCCTATCCAAGAAGGGCAAGTCGTGACGGTGCAAGGGCGATTCAGTTAACAGCCAGCGTCTTGCATTCCGGCTCTCTCTAGCGGCAATATTTGATCAAGCCGCAAGAGGGCGAAAGCGACTCTGACAAAACTGCGTCCCAGCGGCTTTTCCCACGAGCCTTAGGCGCTTTCTCCTCCAGAACGCGACACAGAGCACTTTAAAACGTTTGCTGTGCTTATATTTTGTCAGTTTAGGTGAACGGGACCCTTCAACTTCTCTGTGAAAGACTTACGCAGTTTGATTTGATGTGTGGGAGTGTTTAACTGAAGTTACAGGCTGGCGTGGGCCACCCCGTGGTGGGCTGGGAACCAAACCCGGACCTCTGCGAGAGCAACCTATTAGGGGCCTTGGGTCGGGGCGTGGGAGGAGCAGAGGGAGGAAGGGCGGGGTTAGGAGGGGGGAGGGGGCTACAGCTGGGCTACGAAGCGAACAAACTGTAATGAACAAAAAAGCGAATCAATTAAAAATATATCATCGCTTTAACTCCTTCCGTTTCTTTGCCGGAGTTGGTACCGCCCAGGCCCTGAGCGCTGTCCGAAGGCGTCGCTGTCTGAGCAGAGTCTGAGTAGATGCCATGACTTGCCAAGGATCTCCTCCTGGCTTTTAACTTACTGAAGGTCCCGGCTCGGTTGAGAGGGTGGCCAGGGGTTTCAGCAGTCTTGGGCTGAACTGCAGTTAAGAGGTTGGTGATGGTAATGGTAACGGCGTGTTTGGGCGAATGCCTGAGTGTGCGTGTGTGTGTGTGTGTGTGCATGTGTGTGTGTGTGCGTGTGCGTGTGTGCGTGTGCGTGGGTATGTGTGCGTGTGTAAGTGTGCGGTGTGCGTGTGTGGGTGTGGGTGTGTGCGTGTGTGCGTGTGCGTGTGTGTGCGTGTGTGTGGAGGGCAGGAAAGACAGGAAGGAGAGAGGCAGGGAACATGAAACATGCAGTGTTTGCATCCAGCTGCTTGTGGCCTCTAGCACAGCCTGAACCCATTGGGAATGCCTCTAAAGGCATAGGGTGCTGACTGACTGGCTGGTGATTTGCCCTGAGTGGGCCACTGGTGTCCTCCTGTGAGTGGAGCACGGTCGGGGAGACGGGCTGCGAGCTGGAAATCCGACCCACTCACCTGTTCGCCCAGGGCCTGGGTGATCTCATCCAAACTTGGGAAGGCCGCGGGCTCCATCTTGGCCAGGACACAGGCCATCTTATTAAACAGCTTAGCCGCCAGGAGGGCCTTAAAGTAACAGAGCGGAAACGCGTCGTGTAATCTGTCTCAGTGCGAGGGCGCTTGCCCCCCCCCCCCAGGGGTCCACCCTGGGCGAGTCTGACCGCCCAGCCGCAGGGCTGCGCTGCGGGGGGCCGGGGCACAGGTGAGCGCGGAGCCGAGCGGCAGGAGCCCAGCGCTCCTGTCTCCTCCGTTGCTCCGGAGAGCTCAGACAGTATGGATGGCCTCAGTGCCCGCCTGATACCCAGCGGCTCCTGGGGTCCCCAGTGACCTCACGGAGCCTCAGTTCCTTTAATGTAAAGCAGGAGGAATGCTCCTTCTTCATGGCGTAGCCAGGAAGATGGGGAGAGCTGAGACCCTCCCTGCCTGGGAGAATGCTGTGTGAGCGGCAGAGGGCTCTCTGAGGACCCCAGAGCAGTTAGGAGGCCCGTGTCAGGACTTGGAGTCCCGAGCTGACTCTCTCCTGGATGTTCCTTCCTTGTGGCTTGTTGTTTGTTCTTTCCTGGCTTGGATCAGAGTTGCAGTTTGCTGCTGCCGTGCTGACCGAGCCCCCGGCCCAGCTGCGAGACACTCAGCCTCTAGATCAATAGTTCTCAACGTATGGGTGGAGACCCCTGAGGGGGTTCAAACAACTTTTCATAGGGTCGTATATCAGTTATCCTGCATAGCACCTATTTATATTATGATTCATAGAGGTAGAAAAATTACAGTTATGAAGTAGCAAAAAAATAAAAAAATAAACAATTTCTGATTGAGGTCATCCCAATATGAAGACGTGTATTATAAAGCCCCAGCATTAAGGTTGAGAACCTCTGCTCTGTCAGTAATTCTGCTTTCTCTGCGCCACCTAGTGGTCGACTGTGGAGTGTCTCGTGGAGGAAATTTTTACTTGGGTTATAAATAGTCTCTATCAGAGGCAACCTACAGACTGGGAGAATTCAGGGAATCTCCTTGGAAAATTAAAACTTAGGAAGGTGAAAAGAGAGAAGGTGTTCCAGGAGGAGAACATGGCAGGCACAGGGAAAGTGGCGAGGACACCTGGTGAGATGTTTGTTCTGAGTTATCCAGTGCTGGGAAGCAGGTGACGGAGGTGGGTGGAGAGAGACTGGCAGTAAAGGGCAGAGCGAAGAGTGTGGGTGTGGGCTACATTTCACCCCTCAAAGTCCCACTAGGTGCAGGAGGAGCTGCTTTGCAGATATGGTAACTGAGGCACGGCAGGCAGCCAAAACACTACGCTCACAGAACTTTTTTTTTTTTTTTTAAGAATTTGGCCAACGCACAAAGTTTCTTTGTCTGTGTGTCATCCTAACGGGTCTTGCTATTGAAAGAGGTGGCAGTTCACGCCAGATTCCTTTAGAAGTCAACATTAAAATATGGAGTCAAGACAAAACAACAAAATAGCCTGCCCCAGTCCTGGGAGAGGACAGTGAAGACGGAAAAGAACTCTACTTCCATTCGGATGAGACAAGAGTGCCTTTGGCCTTGTAATAAGTGAGTTTCCCGTCTTACATTCCTGTAGTCCATGATTCCATTCCATTCACTCAAAACGTTGTTGTCTTGGATGCTGACCATACGTTGAGAGGCATCAACACGGATGGTCTGTGTCCCCACAGAGCCAACCAAAGAATGGCTGTCACTGGTGTTCTAGAAAAGATCCATCAACACCGAGAAATGTCAGTGGCCTCCAGCATCTACTTCTCCACTTCCTGAGGGGCTAAAGGGAATCCGTGAGAAACTATGGAAATGCCACTCTTGCTTATTAGCTTTGAAATGTTTCTGCTATAAGAGTTAGGAAGACTGGACACTCTTCACCATACTCACCATGAGGGCCAGAGATGGAACTAGAAAGATGGTCACAAGAATGGAAGGTGTTATCTGAAATGGAACAAAGATCAATGGGCTTTGTCCTTAGCCTCAGATGAGTTTGGACCCCTGGGTCTGCCTTGCTGGGGTAGGTCCTTCTGACAAGGGTCTCAGCTCTCCCCCTCTCCCATCCCTGAGGGCCCCTCAAAGAGGCTATAATTTACTGTGCTCACACAGGGTGTGCCCACTGCTCAGGAGGCAAAGCTTTATCACACAAGGATGCCTCCTTTGTCAACCACAGGGAGAGGCTGGGCCTGGACCACTGCAGCGTGGGTCCCTCTCTTCCTCTTTGCACCATTCTCTCTGCTTCTAGGGCTGGGCACGTCCTCTGCTCCAGCTAGCTCCTCATCCAAACCTGAAATCTCAAAGTTGGCTCTGCTCCACCATCTGCCCACCCTCCACCCCTCTGGAAACAGAGGTCCCCCCAGGTTTCCTTTTCTCCTTATTCTCTTACCCTGTCTAAGAAGGGAAGATACTCACCATTTTTTTCCACACTATTTTGGGAAAAAGTTATGTTAGAATGTACCTAGGCCTTCAAATATTTCATTTGCTCCATTTCCTCAGTGTGCCATGCCCTGTCCATTGGGGAACTTTCTGTGTCAGACATTAATGGAAGCATTAAGGGCTGCAGTAAAGCTATTCATAGTTTACCAAGTGACCCATCATGTCAAGGTAAACTGACAGGATCTTTCCGTCTCTGCACACCTATGTAAAGTCTGAATTCGAAGTGAGCTACACCTCAACGGCAAAGGAAATGGCTATTCTACACTGTTGCCATCACCACAGTGCAATGAGGTCTGCCACAAGCACAGAGCTGCAGAGGGCGAGGCTGCTTTATCAGACCATCGAAAGCTGCATGTGGTCCTGACTGCCTTCGATGCCAGCCCTGGGAGTTTGAGGAGGAGTTTGAAAGGCTGAGGCTAGTCGCGGTGGATGCAAGGCAGCCTGTACTACAGAATGAGGCCTTGTCTCAAAAAACCCAAAGGAACAAAAACACACCATTCCGGTCGGCGGCGGCGCCTATATCTAAATCATCCCCCCCCCATCCCCACTAGCAATTTGTGAGTGAGAAGAACCATTGACGACAGGACTCTAAAAATATGAGTATCTACCTAGCCCCCAAAGAGTCTTGACTGTTAAGAAATTACCTACTGATTCCATAGAGAACACTGATCATTCAGATTCTCCAGAATAGAGCATTGCCAACAGAAGATTGATTACACACCAAACCATGGTTTGAAATTTTCATTTGGGCTGAATGTGAAGATCGTCTGGGGGAGGGGGAAACCAGACCTCCTGGGCTGTTTTGACTATGCGAATAGAACCATCCACATTCAAAGCTAAAAATGTACTCACAAGGCGTTTCATGTTGTCTCTCAGGCTAACGCGACGGCATGCATAATACGATTTTCTACGACCCACGGACTCCTAAGTTCAGTTTATATAGCCCTCAGCCTCTCAGGTCTCACTTTGATAAGGGACTCTGCGACCCAGAAACCATTAACGGGGAAAGCTAGTTATATGATTCCAGTTATCATTTCCCTCTGTAAATCTGAGTGTTTTTCTTTCTCCCATGAGTGCTCCAGGTTCCAAGGCAAACACTGGATGACAAGAGGTCTTTGTGGCTGGTGTACTCATGACCTCAGCCACTATGCAAGGAGCAGATTCCACAGAAGCTCCCGATACAAAACCACAGCGAGTGCTGCCTTTACTTCTTGATTTCTGAAAAGTATTTTGTTTTCCTAACACTGAAGAAACCTCATCAAACCCCAAGAGAAAAACTGAACTACAAGATTGAACTGATTGACAAGCAGTCTGGCCCCTTCTTCATCCAAACATAGATTACACCCTTTGCTCTGCACTGCCCTCTGCCTCCGTCAAGCTAGCCTCCGTTCTTCTCCTGGGACCTGCCGAGCTCAGGTCCTAAAGAACTCTCTGATGTTTGGTCCCTCTAGGTGGCTTTTCTTCCTTTTCTCTTCATTTCAGGGCACTTTTCTACAAAACAAAACAAAATAAACAAGCAAAACTACTGAGACATGAGGAATATGAGGAACCCTCGCACCGTTAATAGCAAGTCAACACCACATCCTCTCAGGCTCTGATTGGTGGTGGCTCAGATGTCCGGATGACATTCAAATTCCACAGAGCCAGCGCAAGTCAGAGAGGTGGATTACACAGATGACCCCGGGCACCAGCATGACCAGAGGAAGGGAGGCAGGCATCTCAGTCCTGACTGGGATCCCTGCAATTCGGCTGTGGGAACAGCAAATAGACAGACGTTGGGAACTGCCAGGTCAGCCAGGGCCGAGATAACACCATAATCTTATCTCCACAGAACACAACACCTAGCCGGAGTACTCAGCCACCACTGTATCTGTAAAATAGGTTAAAGAAGGTTAAAAGGGCATATAATTACATGTGTTTATAAGCACCTTATAAATAGAACTCATAAATCACCATCACAGTGATTTCAGAGTCTTATTGACAGCTGTATGGGTTAGGAGGAACAGTACAATCAGCCATTTTGCAAATGAAGACAGACTAACTGTGCCAACCAGGTTCAGCTCCCACCTCTGCACAAGCCAGGTCTGTGACTGCACAGCTAAGATCTGAGCTCAAATCCTTGGGCTTCTAAGGATCAGGCTATATGTGTTTCCTTCCAACTGCCTTTTGGAGTTAATTTATAATCCAGCTGCAGTTTTAAAAGGATAGGGTCCTGCTTCTGTGTCACCATCCAAGGTCTTCTGTTTTTCGGTTGACTATGTGAACAACTCATTTTATTGGTGTATCTCTTCCTGAAAATGGGTACCAGGAGCCGTTCAATGGACAGCTAGGTACCCCACCTCTTATGCTAAGGAGCAAAGAATCCAAACTCCAGGCAGCTATGTACTAGAGGAAGAAGCAGGAGATGATCCCAAGGGTCCATTCTGGAAAGATCTGTGAGAATTCACCTAGACAGGGCTCCAGACAGAATGGAGACGCTTGTCTATAAAGAGGTGTGAAGAAACGGTCTCAGGGAACCAGAAAACCACGCAGAGTTGGCACCCCCTGTCCTTCCCCAGCACCCATCTCGAGAGGGGCCTGGATATGGGCGAATCTAGCAGTCACTTTGCTTTCTCCTCTAATGCTCAGTGAGAACGATCTGGGCTTGTGCTCCCTAACTGAATGGAGTCTCTGTTGACTGAAGGAACAAGGTTGTGAGAGCTTCACAATAAAGCACCTCACACAAATGGAGTTCATATAAGCGTGTTTGACTGCTAGTTAAATGCTGGCATTTCAGCTGGTGACTAAATGAGGATCTACCCACATTCAGTCCTACAAAGGCCAGGAGCCACATGTCTGGAGGAGCGGCCAATCCATTCAGCCACAGCCTCTTACTGAGCTGTGATGCCCACTAAGATAAGTTTAGAAAGTACCTCTTTTTAAACTGACATAAGATCTCTTGATGTGCCTCAAGCTCTTCTGGACCTCAGAAGGATTTGTCTACTGCTAATCTTTGCCTCCTGTCTTCAGCCTCTTTCTAGATTTGCCCTAGCCCTGCGGAATTTGAATTTCAAATGAATTTAGCACACACTAAGCATATCTGGCCCTCTGCCTTCCACATGTGCAGCCCTGGCTTTCCTGACTCACCCTTGTTCATGACTGGAGACCCTGATTTCTCCCTTCAGTGCCTTCTTCAATGCCAACTTTGAATACTGTTCTTTCCTCTCACCTTCCCTCATTCCCAGCAAACATCTTTGTGAGCATGGTTCTCTGCCTGTGACCCTTGCTGTGTATGTTTCCCCTGAGTTTTAATTGTCTGTAGAGTTGTGTGACCAGAGCATTAAATTGTACACCTGTGTCACTCGACTGCCAGGTCCATAAGTTAAAATTTTCATTTTGTTTTCTGCTGGAGCTGCAGCATCAAATGTTTAGAGCAATACGTACCCCAGAGAAGGCATTTGGGAATCCATATGCTAAATTGCTGCATAAATAGATTTTATTCACCTGTCCTGGTTAGTTATTTTTCCATTTATTTCAGTATTTATTTATTCACTTTACATCACAATCATAGACCCCTCATACTCTCCTCCCAGCGCCACCTTCACTCCCTCTTCCTACTCCCTCCTCCCCTACTCTTCACAAACGAGGAGCCCCACCACCAACCCAGGAGAGCACATCGTCCTGTAGACTGGCCTGGAGGCAAACCCATGGAGCTTTTTTAAATCAGAGATTGATGTGGGAGGGCCCTTCCCCTTGCGGGCAGAGCCACCCTGGGCTGAGCAAGGCCTGGACAGCAAGACAGTAAGGGGTCCAAACTCCTCCATGGCCTCTGCATCAGCTCCTGCTTTCGGGTTCCTGCCCCATCTGAATTCCTGCCCTGACTTCCTTCAATGATGGACAGTGATGTGTAAGAACAGGGGAACAAACCCTTTCTTTCTCAAGTTGCTTTTGGTCACAATGCTCTTCTACAGCAATAGAAGCTCTAAGGCACCATCGTTATGTCTCCTGGAGTTCTCAGCAATGTCTGGTAAACAGTATGGAGCAAATATTTGTTTAAGTCAATGGCAAATAATGAAATCAATTCTTTAATGACAGTGTGAACAAGGAAGGCAATTAAAATGTGAATAGAACAGCCGCTCTTTGTAACCCCCAGCCACAGGTCAGCTTAGGCTATCTGAGAGACATCCTTAAGACTTTTGTGTGTGGACTTGTGGGTAGGTGGTGAAGGGGAAGGCCAGGAAGGCCAGGCATCCACAACACTGTTTGCCTTTTATCTTGCATCCTGGAGCCTTGGCAGGAGCCAGATTCTTTTTGCCGGATCCCTAGTCCTGTTGGCGTTTGATCAGCGCACTTCGATTTTCTGCTCAATGCACACACTGCCTGCTGTAAACCAGAAACTTTCCCGTGTGCTTTGCACTCTGCAGCTTCAGTCTGGAAGCTGGCCTTCTATTCTGATCTTTTCACCTCTGCAAAGCCAAGTGCTCATCACCAGTGAAGGCTTCCCTGTGCTGTCCATGCTCCCCAGTTCCTATCAAGGGCAGAATGCCAATCTTTAACCCTGCCCTGTCACATGGCCACCAATCCCCAGAGGGCCTGTGTTCCGTATGAACCTGCTCTTTCCCACACACAGTGGGATGCACAGTGTATCTGGCCTTCATACATTCGCCACTTGCTTTCTATTCCAGTTTCCATTAAGCAGTCGCTCCTCCTCCCTCTTGTCCGGAAGCCTCTGGTAACTGCAAGTGTTTTCACCAAAAGGGCTTGACTTGTTCAGGATATCCAACAAAACTGGGACCCTGGGATCTGGGACTTCTGTGTCTAGAGTCTTTCCTGCTTAGTGCATTTTCAGTCCATCCATGCTAACATCCACCAGTCCCTCATTTCATTCTGCAGTTAATATTCGTCTGCATCCACAGATCACAGTGTACTCCTCTGGTGATAGGTATTGGATTACTTCTGCCTTTGCCTTTGTGAATGGTGCTGCTATGAAGTGTGGACACATGCTTCTTAGGGCATTTGCTTGTAATTAGTTTGGGTTTGTACTCAGGATTGGTTTTGTTGGGTCATATAGTAATTTTGTATTTGACCGCCCGAGAGAGGACCAAACTGTTTCCATGCTGCTGAACACCTTTGTGTTACCATCAGTAACAGATCAGGGCTTCTGTTTCTCCATATCCTCTCCAACACTTGTTTGGTTTAGGGTATAGCCTTTCTAATACCTGTGACCAGATGACAGCTTTGGTTTCCATTTTTGCAATGATAGAATATATTTAAAACATTGTTGTTCTGTGCGAGCACTGAAACACTGGTGTGCACAGTCAGGGATTTGCTCATTCATTGAACAAACATTCTCTGAGCATCTTCCCCATCATGGGCCCTGGGTACCACAAAGGATGTAAGAAGAAGCCATTCACTGAAAGCTTTCTGCCAGCTTGAAGCAATGAGGTGCTTCACTCAGTATGAATTTGTGATCTGTTCTATCGTTCCTGTTCTGCAGAGGGATAAGGAACATGGAAATACACAGAGACACTGACACACACACACATGCACACAAAGAGAGAGACAGACATACAGACAGACACAGACACATATACCCACACAAACACACACACACACATGCACACACACACAGACAGACAAACAGACACAGACACACATGCACGCATGCACGCACATGCACACACACCAACCTGCTGCCTTCAGTCTTTTTGTCTCCAAGCAGATGAACTATCTTCCATTCACTCAGGCAATGGTTTGGGTCCTGTGGGTGGGAGTGTTAGAGGGTGAGAGGTAGAGAGTTGGGGTGAAGAGGTGATAGTATGGAGTTAGAGCTGGGAGTGGGAGTTGGGAGAGCCCTTGCAAATCTATTTTTCTACTTTCATGTAAGGACAATTTGTTGGAGGTGGTTTGGTGATGATCATTTTCCATTGTCAATTCTGTTGCTT